GGGAGAGCGGGAGGAGAAATGGGGGAGAATCGACCAGCTGGGAGGAAGTCGTGGGGAGCAGGGCTGGCTGGGGGAGATTGGTCGGTGGTAGGAGGGAACCGGCCACCGGAAGCAGGGCTGGACGGGGGCAGCAGGGCATGGCTGGGAGGTCAGGAGGAGAAGGGGGGGGGAGCGGGACTGACCTGGGCACATGCCTACAGACCCTACAGACCCTACAGACCCTGGCAGAGGAGTGAGTCTGCCTGAGGATTCCATTTTGTGTCCCCCCCCATATCCTCCCTCTAGTAATTGTGAACTGCCTGGCAGGTAGACACACTCAGGCAGCGAGCACATCTACTATCCAGGCAGTTTGCAGCTAAGGACTGATACACTTGATTTATAATAAAACTTACCTAATTAGAAAATACCAGACATTTTATATGTCTGGTAATTTCTCAATTTCTTTCTCAGACAAAACCCTCAAATACCAGATTGTAAACAGGTACAAAACTGGACACCTGGCAACCCTACCTTTCCTTGCACCCTACCTCCTAGACAGCTACCCTACCCCCAGTCTGCTCCTGCTCCCACCTCCTGGAGTGCCAATTCAGCGCCGGATTCCCCAAGCCCTGGCCCAGGCTGGGTGGAGGATGCAGCAGGGTGAAAACTGAAAATGTATTCATTTTTCGTTCTTTTTTTTTATATGTGTTTATATTTTGGGGCTGCAAAAAACACCACTAAAAAAAATGGGTTCCAACTAAAGTAAAAAGTTGGGGAAACCCTGGTCTAGCAAGCTTTCTATCCATCTTACAGTCCATTTATCCAATCCATATTCCCTGAACTTGCTGGCAAGAATATTGTGGGTGACTGTATCAAAAGCTTTGCTAATGCTGGCACTGGGGGCTTTGGGAGGACCAGAAACAACTTATTTGAATATTCATCATTTGCTTAATGAATATGAAAATATGCAAATGAATGTTACTGGTCCTCCAAAAGCTCGTGAATGGATTTACTGGTCCCTGTGTCAAAAAGTTTGGGAACCCCTAGTATAGAAGATAGAAAACACATCCCTTATGACCTTTTGCATAAAAAATGTGACTATGAAAGTCCTGTGTTTTCACAAATCTCCAACCTTTCACTACCTGATTACATTTTCTTTACTTTGCCCACAAATAGCAACCTGGATTGAAAATCTGGTCCAGAGAGTAAAAGAGGTTTTTAAACACATGGGATAATGAAGATATGATTAACAGATTCTGTGTTTTGCTCTGCACCGTTTTCTTCTTTTTCGGTTGCTGTGCATGAATGTTAGTACTTTTGGCACACACAGGACCAAACTTTCTACCCAGCTTTAATTAGACCTCTTGATTTTGTGCCCAAATACATATGTGGATGCATGTCTGTTTATAACTGCAAGCACAATTTAATACCCATAATAATTTGAGAGTACAATTTTGGATGTATAGAAACTGTAAAGGTCTTAACACTCACCTTTCTTCAGGATCCTTCTCTGCATATGTAAACAGGTACTTAGCCCTTAAAATAATGTACATTGCATCTGCATGCAATTGCAAGCAGTAATTTTCCTCCTGCAAACCATGGAAACAACTGTGGAGGCCAGTGTCTGAAAAAGAATTTTGTGTTGGCAGAAGAAGAGTCACTGAGATATTCTACAGGTAGCCCAATTATTTTGAACATGGATCAAACACTGCATCTGTAAGCAGTTTGGAGAAATCATTTCATCTGCTAGAAGTTTGATTTCAAAGACACTTGCATATCTGAATATCTCTTGCCAGGAGAAGACAATTAGACATTTCAAACCATTTCAGGTGTCAGTGATTCAAGCTAATCAAATATTTAAGAGACAAGGGTTAAGCTTGAATATTTCTTTTTCTCTTCAGCCTTTCAATATTGTGGCATCAAGCCTGTGGGAAAATAAAATGCCAACGCAAATTAGGCCTACTTTCTCCAAGTTTCATGGAAATATTCTCTCATTTGGGAATATTAAAACTCCATGCATCTTGGGCTTCATGTAAAAGGCAGTAAGCAACAGACACATTACCTCTCTGTACAAAGTTTTTAATTTTGATTAGGGAGTAACGTATTTTATAGTTTATATATTGTATGCATGGGGATTATAATTGTCAAAAATGCTTTATGTTAACTTGCATAAAAGGCCTCAGCATTAGAAGATAGATATATCCCCATAAATAGGGATTTGGTAGTGTACACATTAAAAAGTTGCCAGTTTTCATTTAAAAAAATCTAATAAACAAAGTGAACACAAGGCATATGTTAATAAAAATAATATAGACTGGCCCAGAACTTCAATTGTTGTAAATGAGTCAAGATCCATTTATTTAAAAGGAACTAAACCATTTTATAGCTGTAGAAACTCTGGCCCATTAATGTTTGCTGTATCAATGTCAGGAGTCTCATAACAAGGGTAATGTAATAATTAGGAGGAGGACTACAAAATCTTAATAGTAAAGCTTTGTCTTTCTGGATTTTACTATTTCATTAGCAAAGAGTGAAGCTGAATGACAGTTAAGCTACACAAGTGGGAAATTTTGCTGCTCTGTCATAGAATCATAGGGTATGTCTACACTACCACCCTAGTTCGAACTAGAGTGGTTAATGTAGTCATACGAACTTGCAAATGAAGCCCGGGATTTGAATTTCCCGGGCTTCATTTGCATGTCGCCGGGCGCCGCCATTTTTAAATGTCCGCTAGTTCGGACTCCGTGCCCGCGGCTACCTGCGGCACGAAGTAGGTAGTTTGGAATAGGAACTACCTAGTTCATGCCGCGTGTCGAGCCTCGTGTAGCCGCGCTGCACGGGGTTCGAACCAGCGGGGTTTTAAAAATGGCGGCTCCCCGCTCTGAACTAGCGGACATTAAAAATGGCGGCTGGCAACATGCAAATGAAGCCTGGGAATTTCAAATCCTGGGCTTCATTTGCAAGTTCGTATGACTACATTAACCACCCTAGTTCGAACTAGGGTGGTAGTGTAGACATACCCATAGAAACTTAGGGTTGGAAAAGACCTCAGGAGGTCACCAAGTCCAACCCCCTGCTAAAAGCAGGACCAATCCCACATAAATCATCCAAGCCAGGGTTTTGTCAAGCCAGGGCTTAAAAACCTGTAGGGATGGAGATTCCACCATCTCTCTAGGTAAACCATTGCAGTACTTCACCACCCTCCTAGTGACATAGTTTTTCCTATGTCCAACCTAGACCTCCCCCACTGTAACTTGAGATCATTGTTCCTCATTCTGCCATTTGTCACCACTGAGAACAGCCTCTCTCCATCCTCTTTGGAACCCGCCTTCAGGTAGTTGAAGGCTGCTATCAAATCCCCCCTCATTCTTCTCTTTTGTAGACTAAATAAGCCCAAATCCCTCAGCCTCTCCTCATAGGTCATGTGCTCCAGCCCCCTTATCATTTTTATGTCCTCTGCTAGACCCTCTCCATTGACCCACATCCTTTCTGTAATGGGGCCCCTTGAATTGGACACTATATTTCAGAAGTGGCCTATCTAGTGCCGAATAAAGGGGAATAATCACTTCCTTAGAGCTGCTGGCAGTGCTCCTACTAATGCAATATCCCAATATGCCATTAGCCTACTTGGCTACAAGGGCACACTGATGACTCATATCCAGCTTTTCATCCACAGTAATCTGTCCATGTGTCTCAGTTGCTTCCTATTTAACTCTATCCTTTCCCTAGACACTTTGGTGTCCTGTCCATAGTACTGTCCTCCTTTCCCCAGGAACATGGGACCTCTGACTCCTGTTCCGCTGACCATTATGCAATTACAAAGGACATATAGGGCTCATGTAGACTACGCAGAATGGTCAAAAGAGGATATGCAAATTCCCTTTTCTTCCAATCTCACTTTCGAAAGCAGAGCTTTCAAAAGTGAAAGTAGTTTAAACGTGGCATTTTCGGCAAACTCCTCCCTTTGTCAAAAAGCCGCAGAAACCTCATTTTTTGAGGAAGAATGGCTTTTCAACAAAGGGAGGGGTTCGCCAAAAAATCTGTGTGTAAACTACTTTCACTTTCGAAAGCTCCTTTTTTGATCATTCTGCATAGTCTAGATGACCTAGAATACATTCTGTGTGATATTGGGGAGAGTACCTTTAAGGGTAAAACTTCCTAGACACAGATTCTGAGTGGGACACTGTGAAGTTCTTATTTTTGCTATGTACAGCCAGCAGGAACTGCACACAATTTTGTAATCTTTGTAATCTCCGTCAGGATCAAGGGATCACTGGCCACCTCATTGTACAAGCTGTAAAAAGGGAGAAATCTCCTGAATGGAAGCATGGAATAGTTAAATAAAAACCCACAAGAGTTGAAATTCGCATCTGGAGATGTGAGAAACAACTAGAGAAGATTTACATGGCACGTCACCCTGGGAAGATCAGTCCTTAAAGTCATGGGCCTGAATACCCCACATTGTCAGGCTACTCATGGGTGTAAGAAAAATAAGTCAAGCTTCAATCTCTTGTTGTATAATGTCATCAGAAACAGCTAGCTGAGGCTGCCCCAGAGACCTCCCCATCAACTAACAATATATCAATAGTGCAAAAGTCTCTCAGGAGCAGTTACTTGTTTTGCATAAAATCTACACACATGTACAGACTGATTTTTTAAGCAGATCATTTTTACTAGCAACACTTTGCCCTCAAATAACTATCAGCAGGCAAGCTGAGACTTACTGGGCCCCTGGGCAAGGTAGGGAGGTGGCTCTGTGTTTCCAGAAGGGGCAGGACCTTGGGGGAAAGGGCTGGGCTGCAGTAGCCACCCCACAGTGCTACCTAGACCATGTCCCCCCTAATGGTGTTCTGCACACATCATGTGGGGCTCTATCATGTTCCATGTGGAACTCTAGTTGCAATTTAAAGGGCCTAGGGCTTTAGTCACTGTTGTAGTAGTAGCATCAGCAACTGGGAGCCCAGGCCTTTTGAATTGTCAGGCCTCAAGGCAGTTGCTCTCTTTATACTCCCCTTTGGCGGGTCTGACTCAGCAATTTTGTGTGTGATGTTAATTAGGAGTGTGGATGCTTGCGCTTATACATCTAAACATCTAAATTTAAAGAACAGATGGAGATTTTTGAGATCTTATGAAAAATAAGAATATCACATAAAACTGGCCCTGTGATGTAAGATCAATGGTCCATGTAGCCCAGTATCCCGTCTTGTGACAATAACTAGTGCCAGATGTTTCAGAGGAGGTGAACGGAATAGAGCAATCATCCATGTTGTGCAATCCCAGATTCTTGTAGTTAGATGTTTAGGAACACTCAGAATAGAGGCCTCCTATCTTAACCATCCTGGCTAGTAGCCATTGATGGACCTATCTTCAGCTAAACTTTTGGCCTTCACAACCTTCACTGGCAATGCTGTCATGAGCTGACTGTGTGTTGTGTGAAGAAGTGCTTCCTTGTTTGTTTAATCCTGCCACCTATAAATTTTGTTGGGTGACTCCTGGTTCTTGGGCAATTATTGGTCTGTGGGCTGGCCTCGGTCCACCAGGTTTAATTCCTGACAGGCCCCACTGCTATATTTACCTACACAACTGCAGGTATTGGCAATTGCTGCTCCTGTTGGCCATGGATCACCAATGGGAGAGGTGGAAAGTAGTCTTGATCTGTGCTGCTTCCCACCACTCCCCTTGGCCAGGAATGGTGATCCGTAGCCAATGCAAGCTGCAATCATTGGTACCTACAGAGATGCAGGTAAATATAGCAGTGGTGGCCCACCAAAGGCTAACCCTGGTGAATTGCTGCCATGTCATTGCTCATCCCTGGGTAAATAACACTTTCTTATTCACTTTCTTGCACACCAGTCATGATTTTATAGACTTCTATTGTATGTCCCCTTAGGCGTCTCTTTTCTTAGCTCAACATTCCTAGTCTTTTTAATCTCTGCTCATATGGAAACTGTGCCATACCCCTAATACATTTTGTTGCCCTTTTCTGTTCTTTTTTCCAATTCTAATATATCTTTTCCGAGATGGCGTGCACAGAACTTCATGTAGTATTCAAGGTTCAGTAGTATGCTGTACTATGGCTTTACACTGTGGTATTATGAGATTTTCTGTTTTATTATCTCTCCCTTTTCCAGTGGTGTCTAAAATTCTGCTAGCTTTTTAGATTGCTATTGCACATAGAGCAGATTTTTTCAGAGAGCTATCCATGGTGTCTCCAACTTCTCTTTCTTGAGTGGTAACAGCTAATTTAGATCCAGTCATTTTGTTCGTTTAGGTGGGATTATGTTTTCTGATATGCATTACTTTGCATTTGGCAGCACTGAATTTCATCTGTCTTTTTATTGCCTAGTCATCCAGGTTTGTGAGATCCCTTTGTTAACTCTTTGCTGTCTGCTTTAGACTTAATTATCTTGTATAATTTTAGCACTTAGTATGAATTCTCATAGCCTACATTTGTGTATTTTCCTGAACTGGATGATGCATGTAGCATACAAATATTCCTGTTCCTTATATTTCTGAACTCTGAAAATCTCAATAGTTAAACTAATAACTATTAGAAGCACAAAGAAAAAGTTGAAAACTGACACTCCAATGATAGATAGATAGATAGATAGATAGATAGATAGA